AAATTTAATAGAAAGTGCTTTTAAATACTTTATACAACTAGTCAACTTTGATAACAGAGGAGAAAGTTCTCTCAGATCTCAATGTTACAAAACCATCCAGAATTTCTGAAGCAACAGTCACGTTTTCATCTTTCCATTCAGTTAATAGTGTCATGCTCTCTATTTATACTTGCTTGCTTAAATATGAATCTATTAATAATTATAATAATTTCATTTCTAAAAAGCTGTTAACATAAACTAATTTAACCTAATATTTCACGCCTCTCTCTGTCTTTCTCATTCACTCATTTGTTCTCTCTCTCTCTCTCTCTCTCTCTCTCTCTCTCTCTCTCTCTCTCTCTCACACACACACACACACACACACACACACACACACACACACACTGGTTCTGGGGACTGAATCAGGGCCTCATATATCCTAAGCTTTTGACTAACCATTTCTCATGTTCTGAATAATTACCCCCTCAACAGCTAGAACATGGTAAATTACTAAAGCTTTCAGCATTATGCTTGAATTGCAAAATGCTAATAATACCACCTGCTCTATGGATGGTTATTGGGGATTAATACAGTTAATATTTGCCAATATGCCTAGCACAGATAAAAGGAAGACACTCAATAAATGATCATTACCACTGTCATTAAGAATAACAGTAATTATTTTCTGTAATATAATGGAATGAGAAGAGCTGCATAAAAACCAGTCATATGGCTGGTGGTGATTTTTCTCACTGACCCAGATAAACAAAAGTAGCTGCCATATTTTGGAGGTTGAGAACAACAATAAAGAGGAGAGGGACATTAAAAAAAAAAAAAAAAAAAAAAAACAAGAAAGAGGGAGGGAGGAGGATCAGTAGGAAGAAGGAAGAGGAGGAGGAAGAAGAGACAAGAAATGGCAGGAAAGAAGATAAGAGAGAAGAAAGAAGGAAAGAAACAAAGAGAGGGAAAGAAAGAATGAGAGAGCAGGGAGGGGAGAAGAAAGGAAGAGGAGGAAAGGAGAAAGAAAGAAGAGGAATTCTTACACTGTCACTGCCAAAAACAAGTTTGAAAGCTGTAAGTCAGGTGAAATCCAATCACTTCTTAGCCTCTACTAGAATAACAGAAAGAAAAAGAAAAACACCCTCTAACCTTTTGGCATTGATTTCACCAAAGCCACCCAAAACAATCACATGTAAGAGCCAAATGAACATCAAATCTGAGCCTCTCCTTGGCCCAGAGTATGCCAAGTTCCTGTCCTATTGCCCAAAGTTTTTTTGGCCTTGGTGCATTCCACTTCAGACTCTCAATTCCCTTATTCTGAATTCTTGTTAAAGCCTTTATTATTCAAATAGTATGTGCCACATACTTATGCACAGTGCTTCTAATAAGAACACTGAGAGGACTCAAAAGGGAGAAAATGAGGCTTGAGGATATAAATTATTTTCTCCAGATTCCTGAAGGTAGCACATGGATGGAGACTGAGTCTTGGTCAGTCTAACCACAAGGATTTTTCTCTTTCTACAATGCCAGAAACTTAGTGTAAAGATTTCTTGCCAAAAGTTGTGAAGAAAGGAAATAAAATAAAATAGCTAATTCCTTCAACATTTTTCTATGGCACTGTGTGAGAAGCTTTTCTATTGTCATCAGTCAAGAAAGCTCTGAGGGGTTCCTCTTTCATCTACATTATGCAAATGAAACAGAAAAAGGCTACAGGACTAAGATATTAAGTAAAGAACTGAAGAGAAGAATGCAAAATGCAAGCTGCAGTAGGGCTCAAGAAGAGGGCAAACACTTTTGCAAAATGAGTTTGGTGGGGGCTGGGAAGGTGGCTCAGTGGTAGAGTGCTTGCCTTGCATGCATGAGGCCTTGGGTTCGATTCCACATAAGCAAAATAAAAGCCAGAAGTGGCACTGTGGCTCAGGTGGTAGAGTGCTAGCCTTGAGCTGCGGAGCTCAGGGACAGTGCCCAGGCCCAGAGTTCAGACCCCATGACCCGTAAAAAAAAAAAAGAGTTTGGTGCCTTTTGCTGAACATCCACAGGCTCTGCTCTGGAGAAGGAAACTGAAAGCTATGAACTTGCTCCTAACTATGGGCCAGGTGGGGAAAGGGAGCTTATTAATAGGTAGTAATGAAAACAGAACAAGTCATGAACAATAAGAAGCAGAGCCAATAAAATATGGCAAGGATGACCAGATGGCCAATAAAACATTTCTGAGGAATACACTTTCTGCTTCCTCAGAGTTTGAGACTGTCAGGCAGGGATAGAAGATCCCAAGTAAGTCTGAGAAATCAAGAAGAAGCCTTTCAACTATAAACTGGCCAAATTCATTAGGCCTTTCTAATACTAATCGCTCACAGGTATGGAATACTTTAGTGTCAGTACTATTTCATGTATATTCTGCCTCGTGTTATCCAGATTTACTTGTCATAAGGATATTTATTAGGTCTCCTATGGGGATTTTGATTCAGTGGGCTGAGAACTACAAGCTCAGAAGATGTGTATTTTGAATAAATGACTCATGATGATTACAGTCAGGCTTGTCCCTTACAACAAGCTTTCAGGTAGGTATACAATTTCCATGATACAGGAGAGTGAGCCTCAGAGACATGTACACAGGCACACAATGATTAAGGAACACAAATCACAATGTAACTCCATAATGTAGGTAGATGTATGCATGTCATTTCATTAGGTCCAAATGAACCAGGGATGCCCTCTAAAAGCCCATACTGGGTTGTCAAAATACACTATCTCAGGAAATGAGATAATACAACATTCAGAGCCATCAGGAAAAAAAAATAGGAACTAAGTAAAAGCAGTGGGAAAGAAAGACAGCTCTTCCTCCATCTTTACATTAATGTAAAGAGTCCCCAAGATTTGTAAGTCATTCAGGATCCTAGTAGTGTTGCTTTGATTGCTTTTGTTTTTGTTTTTTGTTTTTTTGTCAGTCGTGGGGCTTGAACGCTGGGCTTAGGCTCTCTCCCTCAGCTCTTCAGCTCAAGGCTAGCACTCTACCACTTGAGCCACAGTACCACTTCCGGCTTTTTCTGCTTATGTGGTGCTGAGGAATCGAACTCATGGCCTCATGCATGCAAGGCAAGTAGTCTACCACTGAGCCACGGCCTCATGCATGCAAGGCAAGTAGTCTACCATTGAGCCACCTTCCCAGCCCCTGTTGCTTTGATTAAGAAGTCTATTTGGCTAAAATAATCTAATATTTACTTAACAGAAAGGGGGAGGGGAGAAGAGGGGAGGGGAAGGGAGAGGAGGGGAAGGGAGAGTAGGAGACAGGAGAGGGGAGAGGGGAGAGGAGAGGAAGGGGAAAGAAGAGGGAAGGGGAGGGGAGAAGAAGGGAAGAGAGTACAGGAGAGAGGGGAGGGAAGAGGAAGGGAGTAAAGGACAGGAGAGGAGGGGAGGGGAGAGGGGAGGGGAGAGGAAAGGGAAAGGAAGGGGAGAAGAGAGGGAAGGAGAGGGGAGGGGAGAGGGAAGGGGAAGGGAGAAAGGGAGGGGAAAGGAGGGGAGGGAAAGGAGAAGAGGAGAGGGAAGAAGAGAAGGAGACAATGACAAAGGAAGCAGGAAAGCAGGAAGGAGAGAGAATACTCTATAGTAAAATCCTCTCAGAAGTAACTTTAGACAATATCAACCAAAAGAAGAATCCACAAGGTAAGGTCTTCAGTCACACACTGCCCTCTCCTTCCCAGTGGAGAAAACTGTAATGGTGACTGATTATACTGTATAGGGCAAAGTTTGGACCTCACCTCCAGAGTCTTCTTTCCTGAGAGGGGTAATCAGAAAAAGTTTACTGAAGCCATCTCATGGATGTCCCCCACCTGAGATCTGGGCTAGTGAATTTTGATGCAAAGGGCCGTGGGGAGAGGGGAATGGCATGACAAATGAAGTGCCTGTGAAATGCATCCTTTCCTATCTCTTTCTGGAAGCCAGTGTGCTGAACTATCACACCCTTATCAACTCACCAGGAGCAAAGATCCCAACCCTACAAGACAGGACAGATGGAGAGAGCACAGGGGGGCTGGTACTGTTAGTCCCACTACCCCTGAGGTTAAGCAAGGAAAATGGGGAGGATCTGACCCTCAGAAGATACTGACTCTAAGACACAACACCTGCCTCTCTAATTTTTACAGGATTGTCTGTATAAATGTATGTAGGCTCTGTTCTCTGGGAACTGATCCTTACACATTTGTGGGTGATCCACATTCTAAATCTTTCTCAGGTTGAGAAGACCTCACCCTTGGGGATCCCCTGAAATTCAGTCAAAAGAACAGAATTGCCATAATTAGAGTTTCATGCCGAGTGCTCTATGTATACACACAGACACAATCACTCTGTTCATTAACAGCCACAATTCCACACTTAGAGAGTATTCAGTAAAATCTCTTTCATGTAGCACATACTAAATTTTAACATTATAATGAAAAATATTTGTTGAATATATATATATGTATATTTATATACATATATATATATATATATATATTAAACCAGCAGTGAAGCTGTATCTCTCAAGTAGTACACCAACTGACTGCCCTGGGCCAAAAAAAGCCAAGTTAGATCATCACGAGGCTGTGAGTTCAAGCCCCATTACTGGTACAAAAAAAAAAAAACCAAACAAACAACAAAAAACAAAATAAGTTTCTATCACATCGATCTCCTGTCCTAATTTCAGAGAAATATGTTTTCTTTTTTTCTTTTATTCACCATGCAAGAAGTGTTTACAGGAAAAAGAAAAAAAGAAAAATTTCACTCTGAATATTTCATATCTCCTTCAAATGTATCCAGTTTTAATGAATGGTCTTCAAATTGGGTACCCACATTCCAGGCCTCATAGTGTTTGAGCATGTATGGTGGAGGTAGAAGATAGATTCAAGATGTTTCAAGTATGCAAAATCACATGCAGATGTAAAAACAGTACGTCTAGTCAAAGAGAGTTAAGAAAGCAATATATATATACAGACATGGAGAATGGAAGAGCACAAATAAAATTCAACTTGTAATTAACATACCGTGCTGTGACACCTGTTGCCTTCCACGATAAGAAGTCTGGGAGATCAAAGAAATGTCCCGCCTTATCCCAGCAAGTCTCTCTTAAGTTCTGCCAAATTAAATATATATTAGAATCAATTTCTTTTCTCTAGCCCTCTCCTCTTTCAATAATGTTTCATGATTCTCAAAATAAAAACACAGCCAATAATATCCATGAAAACATCTGTTCAAGGGTTTAGAGAGTATGGTTTTTTATATAAAAAAGCAGTACTTATATAGGAAAGACAAAAATTATAATTATTGATCCTTCCAAAAAATGACCATAATTTCTCTTTTATTCCTGTTTGCCAACCAGGAAAGGGAGAAAGCACTCTGTGCAGATATGCAATCCATCTTCCCTGTGAATGTGAGAATATGTTTCAAACATAAAGTAAGATAGTAACACTGAGCAGCTATAAATGAAAGGGGAGTTATACTAAGCAAAGCACAGGTTTGTTAGATGTAGAATCACTAAAGACCTTGCATAATGAATGTGTCCTCCCTGCAGCCACACAGATTGGCCACAGTGGATGATGGAATCTGAATATATTATCTCTAAAAGAGACCATTAAAGCTTTTGACAAAATGAGACCTCCTGGTGGTAGTAGCAATGAGGAACCCAGAAGCATTTCTTCCTGCAGCCATATCATCTCCATCCATCAAAGCCAGAGACCTCAGTCAACCCCCCAATAAGGATGAGGAACCAGATACAACATGTTAGAGAAGAACTTTTCTTAGGAGCATACATGGTCTAGGAAGACCATGGGTTTTCCCTGGAGACCAGTCAGCAAAGGGAAAGGGAAAGGGAAAGAGTTTTGGTGACAGGACACATGTCTGAGAAGCCTGCCCCTGGCTTTGAGATGCTGGCTGTCTGAGAATGTTCTTCCACTGAGCTATATGATTCACAAAAGCCATAAACTGCCATACTTCCCTAGGAAGTATGCTTCCAAATCAACAGCTTTAATTTTACCAAATTAATTCTGTTCTTCTAACCCTTGGGCCTACATCAGAAGGCAGTGATTGTCCTCTTATTTTCTCCACAGCTTATAATGTTTCCCATTCATATGACCTCACATGATTCTCAGCATGATTCTCAAGTAGCTGTAATACTCCTGTTAAGGATGTAGAAAATGAGAGTCAAGTTCCAACAGCTTCTACCCAAGTCATCCCGAGTTTCTGCTGTAACCTGAGTGCTCTTCCCATGTGGTACCACAGCGACCACCCTGAAGCCGTTAATCCTACAGAAGCTGTAGGTTTGGGCCTCTGGAAACAAGATGATGAAAACTACTGCCATTCTTGACAGCAGAGAAGAAACAAACAAGACCTTCCAAACACAGTGCAGAGATTCCAACATCAATCTTGAGCAAATTGCTAAATTTCTGTAGCCCTAACCCATCCTCCATGTACAAACAGAATACATGTTAGAGAACATGCAGCATGTCTTAAACACATACAAACTTTGTATGCATCTCATCATGTGATAGCTTAATCCAATGCAAACGAGGAGATCTCTGTACTGAATGAGTTAAGTTTTTCTGTCTCCCAGTTACCAAGCAACTAACAAAAATGAATCTTTTTAACAAAAAAAAAGGAAAAAGAAATAATCAGCAATGACTTGGGGTGTATTGACTTGGCACTCAAGGTTTCTGCATTCCAATAACAATCCTTTGAGCTAAGCAATCCCCTGGCTTGAAAGTAACCAAAGAGCTTTCTTCCCCTCCACCCCCTTTCTAAATCTCTTATTACTTCATAAAAACCACAGTACTTCATGGGAGGAGGCTACTACTCAAAGCTCACACAGCTGCAGGGCTCAGCAGAGGGTGGGGACAGAGCGATTACATCCAAGATTCAAGGCCAATCCAGGCAACAGCTGCCCTGCCAACCTCTGGGCAGAAAGAAGGCACCTTCACCCTTTCCCACCCAATGCAATGTTCCAGGAAGCTGTGAGATTTCTGCTACTTTTAGACACAGGAAGCAAATAGGGAAAATGAGGTGGAAACTGCAATGGCACCAGGGTCTAAGAACACCATGAGAAAATGGTGATTCCCAAAGAAGGATCATCAAAGTGTTCTATTGCAAAGAGATTCTGTCCAGGCTATCTGTAGTTATCAGTGAATAGAGAGAAGAAACAGAATGCCTTGATTCCTCAGTAAAAAGAATCCTACCGGTACCTTCTAAGTACTCATAGTGTTGGTTTTCAGAACAACTATCCAAGAAAAAGCAAACCTACATCCTTACTTGATGTTCAGGACTTTCAATTAGGCTGAAATTCCAGAGAGGAAAAATATCTCAGCAAGAAACTTAATCCTCAATGTCATCCTTAAAAGAAAAATGATACTGAAAATATGGAATGGGCCCCAACTAGGAATGTTCCAAAGTGAATAAAACATTTTTTAAGTTTCAAACTCCCACCCATAGAGACTAAGATATTAGAGATGTTTCAAAGCAGACACATTCACTCAGGTCGATGCTACTAGACAAGGGCCATCTTTCTAAACACTATGGCTTATTGTTTCATTCCTTTGTTTAAAATGTTTCAACACATACTTGTGACCTGGACTCACATTTTCATTCCTTAAAATGGATTTTAGGCCTCTTACAAACCTGGTTCCAACTTGGCCATTATCATGATAATGTTTTTCTGGGCTAATATCCCATGTACAGAAATGCTAACACTACATTTTGCTTTCATCTCATTTCTTTAGACCCTCTCAACTCAGTTTTCTTTCTGTATTTCCACGCTTTTGTTCAGCCTTGTACCTCTTCTTGGATTTACTTTCCTACCCCTCCCTTTACCAACCTTCTCTAAGTCTCAAATTCAGCTCAGATATTACCTTTGCTGAAAATGTCCCCATTCCATGCTGTAAGTGAATTATATATTCATGTGCCTAAATCCACATAAAAAATGACAAATTTCTGGAAGGCAAAAGACAAGTCTAACTCATGGGGGAAAATAAAAAGCTTTAGGCAATATAAAATTAATTTAAAGGCCAGGACTTTCAAAAGAAAGTTATAAAGGAACTGGAAAAATGTTCACCAATGAAAAGTAATTAGAAATATGATGTATGACAATAATGTAATGAGTCTGATACCAAGATTTGGTGAAGCAGTTTCATAACTATCATAATATTTTGTGTGTGGCTATATATCTATCTCTAATGAGTAATCACAGATAGAGTGCTGAGAAAGAAAAGGGCTTTGGGGCTCGAGAAGTTACAAGAGGCTTCATGGAGGAGACACTTGAGCTGAAGCCTAAAGATCAAGTCAAATAAATACGACACTGCTGGGAAAGACACTGAAGCCACAAAAGCCTGAACTGACAAGACAGATTATTCCCATTAGCAAAGGATTTGTTCAACGGTGCCATCGTATAATTTATTTGTAAAATGAAATGATTCCATTGCACAATTCATTTTCAAAAGTTAGATTCATATACATTCCCTTCTCCTCTGTCAGCCTGTTACTATACAGAATGATGAATTTATAATCCGCACTACAGTTAATTTCCTAACTAGAAGAGCATTATCATCTGCATAACAACTCACCAGACTCAGCAAAACTGACTTTGCCTAGGAGGAATGCCATGAAGCATAGTAGGAAAACACAGGTAGAGTATGGGAGAAGTGAGTCCAAGAACTTTAGGCTCTGGCAGCTCTGAGTCTGTTGTCCTCTTTACCTCTCATCCTATGGAGCTTTAGGAAAACTAGTTTCTCCAAAACCCATTTTCCTCAACTGCCTCCCAACTAGCATCTATCTCAAAGGATGCTGTGAGCATAAAAATGAAATCAGTCTACCAGGCTCAGTCATTACTGCTACAGACCTTCATATTTTTCAAAACCACTTGACAGGTATGATCTCATCTGAGCTGTACAAATCCTTGAGGCAGGAAAGGCAAGAAATCATAAACCTCACCTTGCAGATTAACAAAATAACACTCAGAAAGGAGCTGTAATTGTTCCAGTACCAGGTGGTAGATAATTGGACAGTCAGTCAGTCAAACTTTTACTTCTAAAGCCCAGGCCAGTGCTAGTTTAGATTTCTGCTTTTGTAAAGCATAAAAATGCATGAAGCCCAAGAGGATGGGAGGCTAAGGCCACCGTATAACCTAGACACCATGGCTCCTTGTTGGGGGCACTGTCTATGGGAGGGAGTCCTCCTGTAAAGAGGCCTTGGAAATGGCCAGGAGTCTTGGAACTGACAAGGAAGCAAAAGGTATTTACAAGCAGAAAAGTGAAGGATCATTCTCTTGGATAGGTTCACACCAATTTCATCACTTCTTTTCTGCCTCCTTCACTAGCTGCTTTTCTTTGGTGGGTCTTCAAATGTGGATGCTCTCCAGGGTTTGTGCCTGAGACAGATGATTTGCTCTTTGTTCATAGGCTCACCAGGAAATCCCAATCACTCCCATGATTCAATTCCAGTCAACATCCAATCTTCCAAGCTCTCTTCTGAGATGTATCTCCTGGATGGTCCATTATACCTCTCATTCAACAAGTCAGACAGAATCTGTTACCTTCCCTCAGGTTACTCCTCTTTGTTTTCTATGTCCAAAAGAGTCATCTTCTGTTTTGTCTTCTGTTTCCTTACATCTTACATCCAATCATTCTTCTAATATAAACTCCCAGAAAATTCACGAAGACTTCACATCTCTTTATCCCACTAATAAGTCAAGGCACTCCAGGGTAATAAAAACAACAAGGGTGTTTGTGTGTCCATGTGTGTATGTGTGTGTGTGTGTGTATGTGTGGTGGTGGTGGTGTGTGTGTGCGTGTGTGTGTGTGTGTGTTTGTGTGTGTGTGTGTGTGTGTGTGTGTGCGTGTGTGCACATCTACTCATCACTTGGGAATTGAGTCTGGTTTTACTCCATGAATTTGCCCTGGACTCCACTAAGGCTGAAGTCAATGCTTCTTTGGTATAACCTATAAAACTTCATGAACATCCCCATCACTGTACTCCCAAAGAGCTATCTGATCCCATTTGTCTGTCTCTTTCATTAGACTGAAAGGTCCTCAAAGGCAGAAACTGCTGGGTACTTTTTTCTAATTTTTCTATTCCTAGGATCAGCATTAT